TCTTTTTCTGAAGAAGGGTCCAGACCCGAAACGTCAGCTTTCCTGCTCCTCTGATGCTGCTTGGCCTGCTGTGTTCATCCAGCTCTACACCTTGTTATCTCAGATTCTCCAGCATCGGCAGTTTCTACTATCTCAGTATTAGAAGGGAAATTGTGTTGGGGAAATTGACGGAATTAAAAGTTAACAAATCCCCAAGGCCTGATAATCTACATCCTGGAATACTTAAGGAAGTGGCTCTAGAAGTAGTGAATACATTGGTAATCTTCTTCCAAGATTCTATAGACTCTCAAACCATTCCAATGCATTGGAGGGTAGGTAAAGTAACCTCACTAACGTAGAAAAAAAAATGTAGAAAGGGAATTCTAGTTATCCAGACATCTGTAGTAGGGAAAATGCTTGAGTCCATTATGAGAGATTAGAGCACTTGGAAAACAGTGACAGGATCGGACAGAGTCGACATGAATTATGAAGGGGAAATCATGCTTGATAAGTCTACTGGGATTTTTCAAAGGTGTAACTGGTAGAGTTGATGTAGGGGAGCCAATGGATGTACCTTACTCAGACCTTCAGAAGGCTTTCAATAAGTGATTGCATCACTGGCTGGCCAACATTTATTGCCCACCACTAATTGCCTAGAGGAGGCAACCACATTGCTGGAGTCACATGTAGGCCATGCCAGATAAGGATGGCAGTTTCCTTTCCTAAAGGACATTAGTGAACCGGGTAAGTTTTTCCAACAATCAGCAATAGCTTCACAGTCATCATTAGACTCTTAATTCCAGTTTTTTTAATTGAATTCAAATTCCACCTTCTACCGTGGCAAGATTTGGAATTGTGTCCTCACATCATTTCCTGGGTCTCTGGATTAACAATCTCGCAATATTACCACTAGGCCGTTGCCTGCTGACGAGCTCCTAGAGTTGTTGTGTACGTAAATTCATTCATCGGATTTCACACTACAACATTACACAAAAATATATAAGAGTGAATGAGTAACCAGATCATCTGTTCTGGTCAGAGTTGGTCGAGGTTAGTCAGAACATCAGGAAGACTCGGGGTCCTTTATTTAAAATATTTTTAAGAAGCTCTTGATGTCCACTGAACAGATAGACAAATCTCCTATCTCATCCAAAACATAGCAAATCTGAGAATGCTTCTCTCCCTTACACCCCTTTGAGTCAAGCTTTATTCCGTGACCAAATCCATGATGGGACTCAAACTTCCCAATTCAGGGGTAAGTTATCAGACCTTGCAGAATCAGCCAGGCTGAGGCTGGTAAATTATCTGCTTAACTTCATTCGATATTACATTAAATTTACATTAGGAATTGGTAACATTATGTCATAAGATTTGTTTATAGACCTCGCTTTCAATCATTAAGAAGTAGCTTCTGAACAAGGTCTCAAAACATTGACTGTTTGTCTCTTCAGTCCTGCTGCGTTTCTTCAGCAATTTCTGTTTTTGCTACTAACGCACAGCAGATGCTGTAATCTGAAACAAAAACTGAAAATGCTGGAAAGGCTCAGTGGGTCAGGCAGCTTCGGCAGGGCGAGAAACACAGAAACTGGGAGCCAGAATATGCCATTTGGCCTTTGAGCTTGCTCTGCCATTCAGTAAGATCTTTACTGATTGTCCAACTCAGATCCCTGTTTTTGCTTTCTCCCATTTAGCCCTAAGAATGAGATCTAACTCCTTCCTGAAAACATTCAATGTTTTGATTTCAACACAGAATGGAGCTGGAGGAACACAGCAGGCAGCATCAGAGGAGCAGGCTCCATACTGTGTTGTCTCTGACTCCAGCGTCTGCCGTTCTTGCCATCTCTGAATGTTTTGATTTCAACCGCTTTCAGATTTAACACTTCAGGCCTGTAACCTTCCATCAGAGCTGTTCTAATATCCGTCAAATTATGTTCTCTCTCTACCAATGCTACCAAGTTACAAAGAATAATTTCCAACCCACACACACTTGATTGAAACGTAAGATGCTGAGTGGTCTTCACAGGATGCATGTAGAAAGTTTATTACAACCTGTGGGAGAAT